GAGGATCTTGCCTTGCATTCCTCGGCCCTCTGCTCTGGAACTCTGACAGAGCGTCCGAGAGAGCTAACCAGGGGGCGAGGACAAGGTCGAGATCCAAGCTCAGGCTCAGCTGTCTTCGACTCGCTGCATGCGGTGAGACTTGGAGCGGACTTGCCCTTTTCGCCGCCACTGCGGAGCTCCTGTATGTCGGAGCCGACTCCTGATCTCACTGTTCCGGGGACTCGCGGAAAGGGTTGGGAGAGGGCTCCGGAGCAGGGATCGAGAGCGGAGAAAAACGCGAGGTGCTTCCTCGAGGTGAGCCGGAAGGCTGGCGGCAGGAAGCAGAAGGCTTCCCTCTCTGAGCCCGTTTTTCCGTCCGGTCTCTGGAGTGATGATAGTTCTCCGTTCGCGGTGTAAGTGAACCAATAGCTAGAAAGCGCTTGAAGCTCGGGATGCCTCGCCCGAGCTCCAGGGGTCATGCGCCACGCTGGGAGCAGAAATGCGAGCCTCCTAAGACTGGACTCTCCTCCCCCGCAAGGCCTCAGAAAATATTTTACTTTAATCAACCAGTACTTTTTCCACGGGGCGCATCTCATCTCCACCCATACTTAGGAACGACTTCGATTTTCCCCAGCAGCTTATCTTTTTTTCCACGTCCAAGTTTCACCCTGAAAACAATTTAAATGACGGGAAAAAAAACAATCGCGAGTCGGCGATGGGTCCCACTCCAACCTTTCAACTCCCTGGAAGACGGACGACAGGTGGGGGATTCCCCCCTATAACAAACGGGGAAACTGAGGCCTAAGAAGGGCTACAGATGACTCAAAGCCTCTGAGCCAGCAATGAGCTAGCTAGAATCGGAGCCCTCACTCCGTGGTGCTGCTGCAATCGCTGGCAGCGCTGTGACATGGTAACCCTTTCACGCGCAGTATATTGTCCTGATGCTCTCTGAGGCCATAAAGACGCTGACCCTGACTGACTGTCCCAGAGTAACTCAGTCACTGTGTTGTCGCTGTACCAAGATTCTTGAATCTGAGTTGCAAATATTAGGGCTGGAGTTTCCGTTGTCACTTGGTAAGGAGAGTGACCCAGGCAGGACAATTAAGCCACTAGCGAGGCTCTGAGAACTCAGGAAAAGAGGAGAGGCCTCCAGGGCCAGGTAAAGAGCCCCAAGACCTGAGTTTTCCTTTCCACACAGAACCTCCTCTGGGAGACTTTATGCCAGTCCCTTGGCAATTTGGGCCTAGTTTCCCTCCAGCTCAAATTTCCAAGGTTTCCTTACTGGGTCAAGGGATAGGGAGGACTCTTCCATGACTCCTTGGATCCTTTTCTCTATATTTACAAACCCTCCCAGGGCACTTCAAAACTCAGGAAAGAAGTTATAGGGGGAAAGTCGCCAGTGTGTTCTACAGATCACCTGTACTTCACTCCCCCCCCAATTGCACATAGAATAGCCTGTGAAAGGGCAGATTTTTCCAAAGCGTGCTGGGGATACACTTAAGGCTGAAGGCAAATGAAAAGCAGATGGAAATCACCCAGCACCCACCCCCATGGATGGCAACCCATCCCTGCTGGACTAGGAGAATGATTCCAAGGGCCTGGCACCCACTGGATAGCTTTCAAATGGTTTTCAATGGCTCCGTTACCCCTAGGAAGATTAAGGAGCACAGCACCAGAGAAGAGGGGAAGACTTGACCAGAGAAAAGCGAAGAAATGTCCAGGCACCAAAGGGATCTTCATGTATAGTTTTGTCCAACTGGGTAAAAGTGTCCCAGTTCAGTTATCAAATCCTTTCAAATTCTACATCGTGGATTAATAGAATCTTGAAAGTACAGAATTTTGAAATTCATTATCAGAACATTTATGGACTAGAATCTTTAAAATCTTTGTTCTTGAAAATCTTAGAATCTTAAGAATTCTAATCTCAGGATGCTAACTCTTGGTCTGGTGCCCAGCTGCTTGGTAGCACAAAGTTTGAGAAAAAGGAATCAGAATTCCAGAAGAATGGGTCCACAGACAAGAAACACTGAAGATCAAGCAATTTTCAGACATGGGAGCTTCTAGCCATAGTCATTGCAGCTTAAAAGTAGAGAATCATAAAGTCATGGAACTGAATCAAAGTCATGACTGATAAGTCACAGGTCATGAATATTTTGAGAATAATTAGATTTAGATTCTTCGAGTTACAGAATGGTGGGTCCAGTACTAATATTTGGGGATTAAGGAAGAAGAGAGTTGTGGATTTATAGGAACCAAATTTTCCAATCAAACATTTCTAGACAGAAATTCAAATTAAGCAATATATACTTTAGAGCTGCAAAAAATATCTACGAACTTGAAAAGCTGCAGCTCCCAGCAGTGAAATCATATTTTCAGGCACAAATCTTAGTCCCACCATCTTAAAATGAGGAATACGCTTTTACACTTTGACGGGATGCTTAAAGTCACAATACTATAGGTACGGTCAAAGAATTTAGACTTCCGGTCGTGGAATCTTAGAATTACAGAATCACGTTCTTTGATTTACAGAATCACGTTAGGATAGGTGGTCCAAAATTTACAATTTGGAAATCTGAATCTTAGTATTTTGGAAATACAGAGAACCGCGAAATCAAGTATTAAAAGACTTGTGATGTGATCTGGTCGAAATTTTTAAAAAATTAAACTTGTTTTTTTTCCCCTTTGTAAAAACATAACTGGATAAAACCGGATTTTAGCATCTTTGTAACTTTGAAAGAAGGAAGCTGAGAAGCTTTGTTGGGCAGGTGAAAAGCCCCTCTCCAGTCGTTCTAGCACCCATCCGCTGAGGAATTATACAAACCATTCCATCGCTTCCACAGCTCAGTCGGTGGATCGAGGATCTGAGTTTTTTGCCTCTTTCTCCCGAAAGCTGTTGCTCAATGATTGGCGGGGCTGAGCCGGCCCCTAGCTCACTGCCACTAAGAACGCGACTAAAACCTCCGAAGCTGTGCAGCCCACATTCTCGCGGCTCACTCCGCTGCGCCCAGCCCTGCACCAGCAGCCCCGCGGAAAGCTGCGTCCCGGCTGAAGCCTCTAGAGTTGGTACCAAGGCCTGGAATCCTAAGGGTCGAAGGAGCCTCCGAGATCCACAGATGCCCTCCCGCCTCGGATTCCCACAGCAGAAAATTGAGGTCCTGCGAAGCAGAAGGGACAGGCCCAAGATCTCTCCGAGGAATACCACAAAGAGAACCCAGGCTGGTAGGGCTGCCGCCGCAGGCAGTCTCGGGCCAGGCCTGAGTCCCGCCTTCGGGGGCTGGTAGGAAATGAACTCAGAAACCGGACACCCGCGAAGCAAACGGGTCCGGTCTGCCCGCCCCTTCGCTCCCGGAGAGACACGCCCAACCGAAGCACCCCGCAGCCCTCATCTTTCGCAGCCTTCACTCCCCGCTGCGAAAAGGGGTGGCTCGGTGGCCCCCAGGGTCTTGGGAGCCACTTGGAGCCTTCTAGCCTGGGCGAACTGGAGGAGGAGGTGACCGCGAGAGAGCAGACGCCTAGCCTTCATCCTCTGTAAGCTGTGTGCCACTCTCCATCATACGTACAGAGAGGGGTCCCGAGTCACCCAAAGGCAGATGATTACAGGTTGAGGGTAGCCTTTCCCTAAATATCGTCAACGGAGGGGCTCTAGGGATGCACACCCTCCGTACCGTCAAGAAACCTGGGACCCAAAGAGGGAAAGTGCTGCCTCCAGCATGTAGCAGGGAAGCGCAGTAATAACAGGCGCAAGTGTGCGGCTCTGCTACGCGGCGAAGTCTCCGTGGGGCTGTGGCAAGTCACCTCCCCTACTGGACTTAGGAATCCTTGTCTGAAAGATGAGGGACTGAATGAGGAACTGAATGACCTGGGCTTGGAAATCATTCTAAAAAACCTTCAGAGCCAGTCACCAGGAACGTCTTTTCCTTTCCCCGTCCTTCAACCCACAGGAACCAAGCACCACCTCGGCCAGTTCTCACCCTCTCCGGAGAAAAAGTGAAGCAAGCCCTTTCTTTCACCTGCGGATCCCAGCTCTCCACAGAGATTGGAAAAGTCCGGACGCGCTGAGTTTGGGCGCTGAGGTCTCTTGAGACAGTCCCTGGCCTCTCCGGGCCTCAGTCTCCCCGTCGGCACGCAGAGGCGGCCGGCCGGGGGATTGCCGAGCGCCCTCCCTGCTCTGATGGTGTGGGGCTCCATCCGCCGCCACAGCTGCTCCTACCTGGGGAGGTGCGTTGGGACTCAGGGGGCGGGCAGTTGGGGGGCGGGCGGGGAACGGGCGCCGCCCCAAGCTTCCTGGCGCCTTTAAGGAGGAGAAGCCGGCAGAAGGAGGAGCTGGTCCCGGTAAGTGCAGGGGAGCGCCTCGCCAGCAGTCCCGGTGGTGGTGGAGGCCAATGCTACAGAGAGGGAGTCACCGGCTGCCCTGCCTGGCCTGCGCCGCGACTTCGCCGCGGGCGCCTCGCCTCCCTGCCCTCCGCAGCCAGGGCCACCCGGGCGCCGCCTAGGCGGCCCCCACCAGGGTACTCACGCCGTCAATAACTGCCCTCTCTTCTGGTCTTACGGCCCGCAGCCTCCTCTGCGCGCACTACCTCGACGGTTATCTTCAGATCAGCGGGAAGCCCAGACCAACTGCTGGCGCCTCAGCCCCAGGACTGCTTCCCGACCCCTTGCCCGTCTGGGACCAGCGCGCGAAGGACCCCTCTGCCCATGACGGGGGCCTAGTCCTGGTCCCGACGCCACTGCTGGCGCCTGGCCTCGAGCTCCAGAACACGAGCAGAGCTGTGGGTGGGCGGGACACTCCCGAGCCTCTGTCCGCAGTGAGCCGGCCCTGAAACCACCGGCGCCCGGCCTCCAGCGCGCCCCTGCCGGGGAAGCTGTGCTCCCGGTACCAGCCCGCGAGGACTCCCCTGAGCTCTCCGCAGAGGGGTCCAGCGTCCGTTCCTGTGACCCTGCGGGGCCGGGCCCCTCAGCTCCCAGACCCGCCCCCGGATCCTCGACAGCAGCGGGCGGCGGGGACCCGGGACGGCTGCACCATGACGGCCGAGAGCGGGCCGCCGCCGCCACCGCAGCAGGAGGCACTGGCTGCGGTGAAGGAAGAGCAAGGTGAGGCGGGCGCCGGGGTCCCGGCGGAGGCAGCTGCCCGCGGCGCAGGCGGACGGCGGCGGAAGCGCCCTCTGCAGCGCGGGAAGCCGCCCTACAGCTACATTGCGCTCATTGCCATGGCCATCGCGCACGCGCCGGAACGCCGCCTCACGCTGGGCGGCATCTACAAGTTCATCACGGAGCGTTTCCCCTTCTACCGCGACAATCCCAAAAAGTGGCAAAACAGTATCCGCCACAACCTCACGCTCAACGACTGCTTCCTCAAGATCCCGCGCGAGGCCGGCCGCCCCGGCAAGGGCAACTACTGGGCGCTCGACCCCAATGCCGAGGACATGTTCGAGAGCGGCAGCTTCCTGCGCCGCCGCAAGCGCTTCAAACGCTCGGACCTGTCCACTTACCCGGCCTACATGCACG